TCCTTCTCCAGCACCATGTCTGCCTGCATGCCTCCTTGTTACACCATGATGACAATGGACCAAACCTCTGAAAAATGTAAGCCATCCCATTAAATGTTTTCCTTCATGGTGCCTATTCAAAGCAATAGAAACCCTAACCAAGACAGAAGTTGGTACCAGGGTCTGGGGTTTTGCTGTGATAGGCCATACCAAGTTTTGGTTTGGAGAATTATTCAGACTTTGGAAGTTTGGGTTAGGAAAGCAGTGGAATATTTTAAGCACTGATTAATGGGCCATATTAGTAGGAGCATGGAGACAGTGGTGCTAAGAGGTATTTGAACTGTGAGTGCCTGGCTCAAGAAGTTTTAGAGGAAAAGAATATTATATGTGGCCTAGAGATTGTCCTTGTGATATTTTGGTGAAGAATGTGACTGCTTTTTGCCCTTCTCCAAAGAACCTAATGCTAAGGTAAAGAGATTTGAATTTTAAATCTGTTGACAGAGGAAGTCTCAAAACAGCCTAGTATTGCCTCTGTTGTGTGATTTTTTACTGGTGTCTCTTATATAGATTTTCAATAAAAAAGAAAGAAAAAAAGAAAGAAAGGAAGGAAGGGAGGGAGGAAGGAAGGAAGGAAGGAAGGAAGGAAGGAAGGAAGGAAGGAAGGAAGGAAGGAACAGGCTGAGCAAGGAAAAATACAAAAATGTACAATTTGAGGAGAAGATGAGAACCAGGAAGTGGAATGGTGCTAAATCCTGTGTTCAAGGAGATAGAAAGATTAAGAAATGGAATAAAGGGAATGGTAACATCAGGGCAAGATCCAACCCAGTGAAGTTTTAAAGCTTAGAGCCAGTACACGCCTTTAATACCAGTACTCAAGAAACAGGGGCCATCTTACCAAAGAACTCTAAGAATCAGCACAGTCCCCATCAAAATTCCAACACAATTCTTTAAAGACCTTGAAAGGACAATACTCAGCTGCTTATGGAAAAACAAAATGCAGGATAGCTAAAACAGTCCTATACAATAAAAGAACTTCCAGAGATATCAATGTCTCTGATTTCAAACTTTACTACAGAGCCATAGTAATAAAAACCATGTTATTGCCATAAAAACATATGTGTTGATCGATGGAATCATATCAAAGACCCAAACATTAATCCACACACCTAAGGACACCAGACTTTTTATAAAGAAGTCAGAAGTATACAATGGAAAAAAGAAAGCATCTTCAGCAAATGGTCTAACTGAATGTCAGTATGTAAAAGAATGCAAATAGATCCACAGTTATCACCCTGCATAAAACTCAAGTCCAAGTGGATCAAAGACCTCAACATAAAACCAGATACACTTAACCTAATAGAAGAGAAAGTAGGAAACAGCCTTGAACACATTGGCACAAGAGACAACTTCCTGAACAGAACATCAGTAGCAGAGGCATTAAGATCAACAATTAATAAATGGATTTCATGAAACTGAAAAGCTTCTGTAAGGCAATGGATGGTCAATAGAACAAAAATGGCAGCCTACAGAATCAGAAAAGATTTTCACCATCTCTACATCTGACAGAGAGCTAATATCAAAAATATATAAAGAACTCAAGAAACACTTGGGAACTCAAGAAACTACACATTAATAATCTAAATAGTACAATTTTAAAATGGGGTAGAGATCTAAACAGAATTCTTAACAGAGGAATATCAAATGGCTGAGAAACATTTTAAGAAAGGTTTAACATCCTTAGCTATCAGAGAAATGCAAATCAAGATGACACTGAGATTCCATCTTACACCTATCAGAATGGCTAAGATAAAAAACACAAGTGACAGCTCATGCTGACAAGGATGCAGAGCAAGAGGAACACTCTTCAATTACTGGTGGAAGTGCAAACTTGTATAACCACTTTGGAAATCAATTATGGTGGCTTCTGAGACTATATGGAATCCACCCACCCCCAAGACCCAGCTATGACACTCTCAGGTATGTACCTAAAGGACACTCCATCCTACCACAAGGATACTTGCTCAACTATGTTCATAGCAGCTCTATTCAAAATAGCCAGAAATTGGGAACATCATGGATATCACTCAACCAAAGAATAAAGATCATATACATTTATACAATGGAGTATTAGTCAGCTGTTGTTTTTTTAAATCATGAAACTTGCAGGCAAATGGATGGAACTAGAAAAAAATTATCCTGAGTGAGGTAATCCAGACCCAGTAAGAAAAACATGGTATACACTCACTTATAGATGAATATTAGCTGTAAAGTAAAGGATAATCAGACTACGATCCACAGACCAAGAGAGGCTAAGGAACAAGGAGTGCTCAAAAAGACACACGGATCTCTCTAAAAAAGGGAAATAGAATAGATTTTGTGTAGCCAGGTGTAGGGACCCACACCTTTAATCCCAGCACTCAGGAGGCAGAGGTATATAAATTTCTGTAAGTTTGAACCTGGTCAATAAAGAGATTTCCAAGACAGCTGGGGCTATTACACAGAGAAATCATATCTCAAGAAAACACAAAGAATTGATTTCAAGAGTGCACTAGGAGCCGGGCGGTGGTGGTGCACGCCTTTAATCCCAGCACTCGGAGGCAGAGGCAGGCGGATCTTTGTGAGTTCGAGGCCAGCCTGGTCTACAGAGTGAGTTCCAGAAAAGGCACAAAGCTACTGAGTTCCAGGAAAGGTGCAAAGCTACGCAGAGAAACCCTGTCTCGAAAAACTTAAAAAAAAAAAAAAAGTGCACTAGGGGTGGGAACAGGAGGAACCAGATTGGAGGGTGGAGGGAGAGTACTGGGAGAGATGCCTGGAATTGGAGCCATTTCAGGCAAGGTAGAATCCTGGTGCAGTGGAAACTCCCTGGAATCTACAATGGTGACCTTGGTGGTTTGAAAGAAAATGGCCCTCAAAGGAAATGGCACTATTGGGAGTGGTTTTGAGGAAGAAGGGTGTCACTGTGGGGGCAGGCTTTGAAGTCTCTTTCCAAAGCTTCATTTAGTGTGATAGTCAATCCACTTCCTGTTGCCTGCAAGATGTAGGACTCTCAGCTACTTCTCCAGTACCATGTCCACCTGCACACTGCCATGCTCTCCACCATGATGATAATGGACTCAACCTCTGAAAATGTAAGCAGCTACCCAATTATATCTTTTCCTTTATAAGAGTTGCCATTGTCATTGCTGTGGGATGTTCAATCACACTGTGAACCCTGAGTTTGCATAATTAAACAAAATCAACCTTAGGTCAGGAGGCCCAGTTAGCAACTAGCTGACAGAAAGTAATCATAGAGAGTGACAGAGTGTCTGGAGGATGATAGAGAGATGCACAGGAAGTAATAAGGAGGAACTTAGTGTAGGGTGGGTTCTTTTGTTTTGGCAGAATGGAAGGATTCGCTCCTTCAGAGATGCCAGCAAAGAGAGAAGGTAATCAAGTTGCTACTCATCCTCTCTGAGCTGGCAAGTTTCCAACCCAGCTTTTGACTTCAGGGTATTATTAATAAATAGAATGATAAAGAATTAATTAAAAGCTGTATTTGGCAGCAGTAATATACCTAGTGCCTGTGAAAACAGAATTCCCAGCAGGCAGTGGCCTGAAAGGCTGGGCCACTGCCACAGAAGTAGGCCAATGACTACAGAACCACATTTGCTGGCTAAAATAGCAGCAGATTAATGCACAGCCTCTGTGCCCAAGAAAAACAACAGGGCACAGTGTCTCTTCGCAGCAATTGAAACCCTAAGACAGTGGCCCTAGTGAAAATGCCTAGTAATAGGGAATAAGGATCCTGAACTCTCCATCTTCTGTAACCAGGCAAGTCTTCCAGTGGAAGGATTGGGACACCAACCTAGCTACAAAACCTTTGAACTACAATTTGTCCTGGCTACAAGATGTGCTGGGGTAAAGGTGGTACAGAAGTTGTGGGAGTGGCCAACCAATGGCTGGTCCAACTTGTGACCCAGGCCATGAGAGGAAGCCCATGCCTGACAATGTATGGAGGACAAGGAACCAGAGTCTAGATAGCCCAGAGACCTAGGATAGGACCAAAGGTGACTGGGAGGGAGTCAATGAAATGATTCCTAATGATATTCTGGTATACTTGTAGACTAGAGCCTAGCATAATCATCATCAGAGAGGCTCCATCCAGCAACTGATGAGAGCAGATGCAGAGACCCACAGCTGAACATTAGGTGTAGCTTGGGGAATCCTGTGCTAGATGAGGAGGTACGAGCTAGAGTGGTCAAAAACACCACAAGAACATGGCCCACAGAATCAACTAACCAGGACTCATAGGTGCTCACAGAGATTGAACTAATTAAGGATCCTATATGGGTCTGACCTAGGTCCTCTGCATATGTTATCCTCTCCTTGTAGAACTACTAAAGTGGGAGTGGAGGTTGTCACTAACTCTTTGGCCTGCTCAGGGGACCCTTTTACTCCTACTGGGTTGCCTCATCCAGCCTTAATATGAGGGGATATGCCTAGTCTTATTGTAACTTGACATGCCATGTTTGGTCTATAGCCAAGGGAAGCCTGCCCTTTTCTGAAAGGAAACGGAGAAGTGAATCTAGGGGAGAAGGGGGTAAGGGAGGGATTGAGAGGAAAGGAGGGAGGAAAGGCTGCTGTCAGGATGTAATATATGAGAGAAGAATTATTTTTTTTTCTTTTTTTTTAGATTTATTTATTTATTATGTATGTGGTGTTCTGCCTGCATGATTGTCTGCAGGCCAGAAAAGGGCACCAGACCTAATTACAGATGGGTGCTGGGAACTGAACTCAGGACCTTTGGAAGACCAGCCAGTGCTCTTAACCACTAAGCCATCTCTCCAGCCTGAAGGGAATCAATTTTTTAAAAAAGACTATTGCTAAATCAGGATTCACAGTCCTGATATCTGAAGAACAACCAACCAGGGCAGCAGAAATTCTTTTGAAATCTCTCATGCCTGCACAAAAAAGGATTCATCAAGACACCAAGCCTGTAATGAACATGATTTATTCTCCTTTCCTGTGTCATTAGCATTCTAGTAACTGGGAAAGTTTTTTCTCGTGCATGGGAGTCCACAGACTGGAGAAGAAGTCTGGGTCCCACATCACAAAATTCTCAACGATAGAACAGAAGCACAGCTGCTTCAGTTATCTCCCGGCTACTGCTGTACCCAATGTGAGTTCCATATCCATTCCAATCAAATGCAGAGAAGTCTCCACACTGCCGAGGGTTACCTTCTGGGAAGAATCCTCCTCCACCAATGCAGCTCTGGAAAAGAAGAGAGAGAGGAAATAGCAATGAGAGGTCAGTTGGTGATATGGTCCAGATATGAAGTGTCCTCCCCAAAGGTGTTATGCACTGAAAACCTGGTCCCCAGTGTAAGTAACATCCAGAGGCAGGACTTTGGGGAAGGCTTGAATATAAGGACCCTGCCTTCATCAATTGGCTAATCATTGATGGGTTCACAATTTTGAATTGACTATTGGGAGATGGTAAAGCTATGAATGGGGGTTAGGTATCTTGTTAGAGGAAACAGATCACTGGGAAAGGAAGTGTAATGTGTCAGGCAAGAAAGGAGCATGTGCTTTCATGACACAAATGTACCTCTGTGGAAGCAGAAGTTAGAGGATAATCTCCAGGTGTTGTTGGTCCTTGACTTTCCACCTTGTTTGAATCAGGTTCTCTTCGCCACTGTTTTAGCCATCTTAGCTGACCTAAGATATTTGGGAGGGCTCCCTGCCTGTCTCCCATCCTTCTCTGGGGAACACTGGAATTATGGACACCCCCACTACTGTGTGCAGCTGATCACCAGACTTGCACCCCAAGTTCTTTACCCACTACACGATCTTTTCACCCACAAAGAAGCATGATTTTGAAGGTGACTTGCCTTGGCCTTTCATGCTGTTTCTCAGCTTCCTGGCCACCATTCACTAAGCCACACTGCTCTGATATGCCCTTCGGGTAGAATGTTTCTGTCTCACCATAGATCTAACAACAATGGAGCCAACTGACCACTGGCTAAAATCTCAGAAAGAATGAAACTAAACAAGACTTTCCCCTTTTAACCTCTTTCTCTTGTGTATGAATCAGAGAGGCAGAAGGCTGACTATTACAGCTGATGAACCCAGACACACCTTAAAAGCCAAATTCAGTGAACTCTTAGTCCCTCTTCAGACTCTCCATTGGCGGTATCATTCTGTTTGATCCATAAAACATCCGTCCATTGGCTTTAGTGGCATCACTGTCTCTTCCCGACTTTCCTTTAACTTTTCTGAATCTTTGTTCTCAGGTTCCCAGGCTAGACTTTTCCTTCATGAATTCCTTAAGCACCACTTCCCAGAGGACACATGCTCCAGTTCTTGTAGCTTGTGTCACCCTCTGCCTTCGGTTAACCGACTATTCACTGATAGCTCAAACTGTCAATCTGCAGTCCAGATGTTTCTTTAGCTAATGATCTTAAATCCATCTGCCACTCGAATCACTATTTGGACATTTCAAGCTCCACATGAAAAACAAGGTTAGCTACAGCCATGTGCCACTTAACAATGGGCATTTATTGTAATAAATTCATTGGCTGTTCTGACCACAGTGTAAAAATCACAGGTTATCCTCAAACAATCTAAAAGCACTATGATGTTTCTAGGCAGTACCACCACATGAAACCACTGCCATCTATCATTCCATCACTGGCCAAAGCATGTAGCAGCATATGAGTGTAAATTCCTCCTTGATTCCAAACCTGGTCTTCATTCAGACATTGTGACTTAATAAATGATATCCATTGACTTTGAACTTGCTGTTTCCATGTCGTAACCTCCCAAGTAACAGAATATGTTCTGTCACACCAAGAATTATTAGTGTGCTATTACAGAGAAATATGATTATAGGCAATGATAGTATGTTGCAGACTTCAAAAGCTAGAGGAAATCAATTGGAATGTTTCCACCACAAGGAAACGCATGTTTGAGAGACAGACAGGCTTAACCTGATGTAAACATTGCATGATCTATTTGTGTATTGACCCATCACAGAGCATCCTATTAATGTATAATTTTATGTTATTAGTTAAGTAAACTTAATTTTAATAAGATTTTTTAAATGGTATTCACTCACCCAAGTGAAAACCATAAAGTTATCCTAGACATCTCTTCCCATTCTATGTATTTGTCTGGTCTCAAATTTTAAATCATCAGTGTTCATTGGCCGCATACACAGGTACTGCTCTACCTCATGCTTTCATTTGGACCCTGGAAACCACCTTGCTTTGTGCTTAGTCTTTCCCGAACTCAAATCTGACTTTGTGCTATCAGTGCCATCTTAACACAAAGATGATGAAGTTAGTCTTCCTCTTTAAAATGTGTCGATGGCTCCCATCATTTACATGCAGTACAAGCTCACTAGAGTAATGTAAAGGTTTCTTCTTGATCTAGTTCCTGTTAACACTTCCTAAATCAGCTCTTGCCTCTACCCTATATCCATCTATACAACAAAACTAAAACACAGCTTGCTCTTCCTCAATACCACAAGTTACCTGAAACACTGGAAAACTGGAATACGCTGTTCACTCACCCTCAATTGGTCTACACCATAAGCTTCTGTACATCTTCCAAGACTCAACTCAAAACTACCTCTCCTATAAACTGGGTGTGCTGTCACAGGCCTGTCATGCTAGCACTGGGGAGCTAACGACAAGAGGATCAGAAGTTCAAGGTCATCTTCACTGCATAGTGAGTTTAGAATCAACCTAAGATATATGAGACCTGTCTCAAAAACAAAATCCCTTTCCTGCAGTCAGTACTCTGCCATTCCCATTGCTCAGTGTAGCCCCTAGCTATCATTTGTTTGTTTGTTTGTTTTGTGCTTTGCTTTCTTTTGTTTTATGGCACTAGGAACCATAACCCAGGGCCTTCTGCATGTTAGGCAAAAGTTTTACCACTAAGCCATAACCAAGCGCCTTAGTTTATATTTCTATTGTACTTTAAACATATCAGATAGCAATTACACACTTGTGTGAATGTCTAACCTACTAAGTGCTAGCAAGGTACATGGCATGGCATGTCTCCTGTACCATTACAGTGTAGGTGCTCAAACGAGCTACGCTAAACAGTAAGCGAATCACACGCTAGCACCTGTGCACACCGCGTTTCATATTCTTCAGACATGACTGAAAGGTGAATAGGAACCAGATTTTCACAAGGAGACCTTCCCTTTCATTATCTCCATCACTCTCCATCACAATCAGGGGGCCTCCTTATAAATAAATAAATAAATAAATAAATAAATAAATAAATAAATAAATAAATAAATAAATAAACAGAAGAATCTAATGATCTCAGGCTTAAGGGAACTGCAGTGGAACTGAGTGCACCTGATCTTGCTGCAGTCAGTCTACACGACATCTTCTAACCAGAGAAAGTGCCTGTGATAGGGAGGTGGAGAGCCTGGGTGAGGTCTACCAGATGTCCACAACTCTTCTAGTAATCCTTCCTCACAATAAGCATCTGTACAAACCCTGGAAAGGATCATTTTACTCTGAAAGCTAAACCCTGGGTGGAGAATGACAATACCTAGGGACTCTCTGACAGTCTCAGCCTCCAAAGGCTTCCACAGACTTCCTGAATATAAATGTCACCCTGACTCCAAGTAATTTAGTGTTTTATCCTAAAAGCTAAGCAAACAGCAACAGTGCATCAGAAGTTGTAACATTGACTTTGGTCTTCAACCAGACAGGATATTTGTATCTAGACAGAAGTTCTGAACCCTGAGACCATGCCAGTTATAAGGAAAGGTCACACTCTCACACACATGCTCACACTACCATGAGAATCTCATATGCTCAACACACACTGAAAAACTCAGTCTAACCACAGGCCCCCTTGGTCCCTAATCAGACTCATGAGTTTGGAGTTAGAGAAATGGCTCAGCAGTTCAGAGCACTTGCTGCTTGTGCAGAATCCAAGTTCAGTTCCCAAGCACCCATGTCAGGCATGTCAAAACCATATGTAACTCCATTTCCAGGAAATCTAATACCCTCTTCTAGCTTCCAAGGTTACCTGTACTCACATGCACATACCTGCACACAATCACACAGGTATATACACAATTTAAAAATATTTTTTTAAAGACTCACAGCTTCAGAATTACATCCAGTGACCTTCATGCCAGCACACAAAGCACTGGCTGCTCTCTCGTTATTAAACACTCTGAACTGAACAAATCCTGCAGTGAATTCCTCTGCAAAGAAAAAGTAGAAAACAGCATTCAAGAAAGATTCTAGAAATCCTTGTCGTGAGGTCAATGCAGAGATTGTCAGTGCCAGGAACAGATTCTAATTCAAGACATTAGAAAAACTGGGTGGAGTCTAACACTATCATGACCAATGCCTGAAACATCCCAACCACAAAGGTAGATAACAGGAGACTTTTCCAAATCTCAGAGTCCAAGAGTGAGTCTTCAAAAAGACCCTAGTCTGCGGAAGGCTTGTATGAAGAAATTTAGTAACCCGGGAAGATCACACTGACAACCTCCAGTGGACCATCACAGTAGGTAGCAAGTATATTGACTCTGGTCCTATCACACTTTCCTTGTTCCTTTTCATTTTAAACTTTTATATGCCAAGAATAAAGAACAAGAGTTTTAACATGGCACAGGCTCAACCTCTATGAAGGGTTTGTGCTGCTGTGGGATAATGCTCTTGTACACTGGTTTAATAAAATGCTGATTGGCCAGTAGTCATGCAGGAAGTATAGGCAGGGCAAGCAGACTAGGAGAATTCTGTGAAGAGGAAAGGTGGAGTCAGAGGTCATCAGCCAGACACAGAGGAAGCAAGATGACCAGGCAGAACTGAGAAAAGGTGCCAAGCCACATGGCTAAACACAGATAAGAATTATGGATTAAGCTAAGTATAATAGCTAGTCAGTAATAAGCCTGAGCTAATAGTTGAGCAGTTATAATTAATATAAGCCTCTGAGTGATTATTTTATAAGCAGCTTCGGGAACGCAGGCCTGGCAGGACCAGAGAAACCTTCCAGCTATAATGTGCCACCTTGGATTTTTTTTGTTTGTTTGTTTGTTTGTTTTTTGAGACAGGGTTTCTCTGTGTAGCTTTGGAACCTGTACTGGATTTCGCTCTGTAGACCAGGCTGGCCTTGAACTCACAGAGATTCACCTACCTCTGCCTCCTGAGTGCTGGAATTAAAGGCGTGTGCCACCACCACCCAGCTGTAGCCACCTTGGATTTATATTAAATAACAAGATAGTCACCCCTCACATAGAAATAAAACTCTATTTTTTGTTGTTGTTCTACCCGGTTTTGTTCTATTGTTCTGCCCCTTGCATGTGAACCTGGTCTGTTCCTAAGAAATCATTGGATGATATCAATGTTGCTAGAATTGATTCCATTGCCAAGTTTCCCCGGGGCAAATGCACACTCTCCTGCTGATGTCCTGTGCTGTCGGGCAAACTCCTGGACCTTCAGTGATCCAATCTCCTAAGCTGTAAAATGGGTTAGTAAGAGTTGAGAGATCAAAGGCAAGCAATTGAATGAAGTGAAACAAACACATTTATAGAAGAGAAACAGGCTGTCATGGATGGTAAATGAGAGTTATCATAACTTAATTTATCACATGTCCTGCAGAGGGTTCAGAGAAGCATCAGAGACTCACTCTGGCCAAGTGGGGAGTAATAAGCGGCTGTCTTCTGAGCGTCACCAAAGTCATAGACCACAGGTATTGCTGGGCCATTGTCAGTCCAACACTTCCCAGCTCCATATTTCACCGGGAACTTCTACAAGGAACAAAAGAAGCCCCTGGGTAAGGATGGCAGCATTGGCACTCACAGGAACACTGTCCTGCATGGAGAAGCACAGCAAGTGTCCAGTGACTGGGATTGTTCCAAACCAGTCAGATAAGAAAGAATCCTTTCCTTGGTCTGTGTCTCTCGGACACTCTAGACCTTCCCCCTTTTCTCTTCTCTTTGCTCCCCCTCCCTATTTCTCTCTTTCCCACACATCCCTACCTTTGCCCTCCTTGGCTCATTACACTTTAGAATAAGGGAAAATGGAATACAGCCCACCCAGCCTCAAACACCTGCCTCTTTCTAAACCCCTGAAAAGCAGCCTCAGCCAGCAGTCTCCAGTACCTGGTAAAGGCCAAACAGATTATGGCCCAGGTGCTGCAGGAAGCCAGTGAAGGTGCGGTACCTCAGCAGAGAACTGTCCCTCCAATTGTGCAGGGGGCTCTTGTTGGGCACATGCCAGATACCCAGGTTCTCAGCCTGGATGTCGAAGTAGCCAGGGTTCTGGAAAAGAAACCAACACTGAATCTGACCAGGCCAGGAGATTTCACCAAGCAAAGACCTACATTCACAGTTGTCAGCAGAGCTGATATCTCTGGGCTCCAGGTGGACACATGACCAGCAATGCTCAGATACTCTAATTTACAAAGACAATGGTCCAACCACCTACTTAACCTAAAAGTCTACTTGGTAGGATGTTAAGATTCAAAATAAGTGTTTTTTTACTTCCTCAGCCCTATGTTGAAGGGCAACCTTCCAACCCTCTCCCAGGCATGCTTGAGCTGCACTCACATCCTCACCCTTTCCCAAGTGGCCACAGAGTGTACCAACCTTGTAGTCATCACTCGTGGCCCCCTCTGCAGACCCGAAGGTGTTGTAGTTGGCCCAGTTGCCATCCCCCTCTGGGTAGTCGATTCTGTTGCCTTGCTGACTGGACCAGCGATCGCCCACTGTGCACTTCCCAACCATGTTGTTCTCATGCACACTGGCCACCAGGGTCCAGCCACCACCTGCAGTGGTCATGTCACAGAAGGTCTGGTAGATGACACCATTCTTCGTGCGGAGGAAATAGAGGCCATCTGTGGAGAGAACCAGTCCACAGTCCTGTGTGCAGGCTCGTTGTCCATCTCTGCTCCATAGGCAGAATGACTCCAGGAAGTATAACCATGGCTAATGCCTCATATCCTGAGTGTCCTATTACAGATGTCCCTGGGAATCTGCATGAGTTCAGAAAGCCATGCTTCTGTGACTGAGGCTGAACACAGAATTATCCAAACTGACAGTGATTTATTTCTAAAGTAAAACATAAATATTATCAAAGGACTTTGCAACTCCACTCAGCAAATACCCAAATAACTAGGAACAGGACCTCAGCTATGTACATTCATGTTCATTGCAGCTCTGGACCCAAAACCCGAAAGGAAGAAACAATCCAAGTATTTCTCTTCAGAAAAAGGAATAAGCAATATACTGTGTTGTCTAATATACAGACTATATATTGTGTACATTCCTATATATCCAAGAGATCAAAAAGAATGAAGTGGGCTGGAGAAATGGCTCTGTGGTTGAGACCAAGCACTGCTCTAGCAGAGAACTTGAGTTAGGTTCCCAGCACTCACACTTGTCAGTGTACAAGTGCCTGTCACTCCAGCTCCAAAGGACTAGATGGCCTCTGCTGGACTCTGACGGTACCTGCATACCTGCATATATATATATATATATATATATATATATATATATATATATGCCCACACAGAGACATGTACATCTAAATAATAATAATAATAATAATAATAATAATAATAATAATAATATAAATACTCTTAAAATAAATTAAGTATTCCTCAACACATATGAGCCTTGAAGTATGCTAATAAAATAAGGCAGATTACCCATATGAGGTAACAAGAATTGACATATTCATAGAAGTAGTAAACAGAACAGCAATTCATAGGGAACATAGGAATTTATTACTCTGTGGCTGCATAATTTCTATTTAAGGAGTGAAAACTTTCTGGAGATGGATAGTGGTCATCCATACCATTGTGAAAGTCATTCTTGACTCTGAAAACCCTTCAAATTGGCTAAGTGGCAATTTTTATCCATTATGTACATTCTATCACATTTTCTATATCAAAAAGAAAAGGTGTTCCAAAGGACAAAAACCTGATTTCCTAACTGGATTATTTGTTTTATTTTTGAGACAGGGTCTCCCCAGGCTGCCTTGGAGCTTTCAATCCTCTGCTTTGGGCTCCCAAGTGTTAAGATTACATTGTGTTCTTTAAATGCTTCATCACTCACCTTGTGCACTAGTTATCTCCTGCTTGATTTCCTTGCAGCTTCTGAACAGAGAGGAAGATCCAGGATTGGCCCATCTGTTGGTATCCAGGTTCTCTTTAATGAGAGAAGATGCAGAATTTCATTCTTATGTGACACCCAGACTCCCCTTGTCATTCATCCTAAACTCATTCCATGATTTCTCAAAGCCTCACTATGAAAACCAACAAGATTTGTAACTAGGAAGAAAGACAAGAGATTTGAAGGCTTGAAGAACTTTTTGTCCAAAGTCCTGAAAAAGGAGAATAAAGTGAAGTCCAGCTCTGTAGTAGAAAAATGCAGGGAGCCTAATGTGCCTGAAGCATGGGTATTAAGGTTGACAGTGCAGAGGCTTGACCAAGAGACCCTGGAATAAAAAGTCTTGCAAACTAGCCTCAACTCTGCAATGTCCTCTGAGAACCTAAAAAGGTAGAAACAAACAAGAACTCTGGAGTCAGAACTACTCAGGTGTAACTAGCTCTATGTTTACAAGTCAAATAATTTTGGATTGTATTTACTGCATCTGAACCTCAGTTCCCTAGAGCCTAATATTGAGCTGACAAAGACTACCATGTGTAGATCAATTAAGATGGCATTTAGGGACTTTCCTTTCCTGTGGGATATCTTTCTGTATGCTGTGAATATGTGTTGCTCTGATTGGTTGATAAATAAATCTATATCGGCCTATGGCAAGGCAGCTTAGAGGCAGGCAGAAAATATAAGCAGATAGACAGGAAGAAGAGAGGACAAGAGAGAGACGCCAGCCTGCCACTCAAGGAACAACATGCCAGCAGATTAGTAAAGCCACAGAACACATGGCAAAACATAGATTAATAGAAATGGGTTAATTTAAGATATAAGAGCTAGCTAGCAAGAAGCTTGAACCATAGGCCATCCAGTTCATAATTAATACAAGCCTCTGTGTGTTTACTTGGGTCTGAGTGGCTGCATGATCAGGCAGGACACAGGAAAACTTTTGGCTGCATGCCTTTTTCCTTAAAACAACAGTGAAGATGAAATAAACATTTTAAAACAACGGTGAGTTCTTGTAGAAAGCAGAACTGAAGACAACATTCTCTGGACACAAACAAGACCATTCACTTGGTATTGAAACCCTAAAGCAAAGGTCCTAAGCATAGGGAGTGACTAAGGACAGGACACAATTCTTGCAGAAGTTCCTCACAAGTAAGCTACACACAAGTAAAGAATCTGGAACAGGACTTGTCTCAGCAATCTCTCTGCCACAGACCATTTCCTTCAAGAGACAATCAGCACCCAGCCTACATCTCAAAGGCATCATCTCTTTGGGGGATGGACTAGGTTTTGTTTGTATGTCCAGGTATATATATATATATGTGTGTGTGTGTGTGTGTGTGTGTGTGTGAGAGAGAGAGAGAGAGAGAGAGAGAGAGAGAGAGAGAGAGAGGGAGGGAGAGGGAGACAGAGAGACAGAGGTGGGAGGAAGAGAGAGAAATCCACAATTAAAGAAAAATAGGCCTTTAATTTGTTAGAGAGTAGGGGTGGGGGACAATTGGGAAATGTTGGAAGGAAAAAAGGGTTATGAAAATAATACAATTATATTTAATTTCACAAAGTTTTTTTTTAAAGACATGATCAGCTGAGCCGTGTGAAACATGTCTCTAAACCCATCACTCAGGAGGTAGAGACAGAGCCAGGCAGATCTCTGAGTTTGAGGTCAGCCTGGTCTACAGATTGAGTTCCAGGACAGCCAGGGCTACAAAGAGAAAACATGTTTCGAAAAACAAACAACAGTTAAAAAAAAAAAAAAAAAAAAAAAAGCATGACCTCTGGCCCTCAGAGACCCAGGTCCTGGAAGCAACCCAGTCTAGTGCTGACTGCCTCTAAAGCTACAGGTGGCCTGAGAAATCTGGGGTCCTGTAGCAAGACTCACGTGCCGTGCACCCTCTGGTGGCCAGGATGATAAATAGCAGGAAGCTGAGTTGGGTCATGGTCACCTAGAGAGAAGCAAGACAAAGGTCACTCCATCCTGACCATATTTTCCCCTTATCCCAGTCTCAGCTCCTACCTTCAACTACTCAAAGGCCCCTTTCGCTTTATATAGCTCAGACCATTTTGGCTGTAACAGTGACCTGAGCCAAAATCCTTTCCCATCTGTTCCACAAACAGCAACCACCTCCCTTCTGTACCTGACGGGAGCTGAGAGTCGCTGAGTAATGAGACAGAGCTTTCTCTGCTGAGGCTCCTGCTTGCGTGAGGTTGAGGCTCCGGTCCTTTTATGGGGAAAGCCCAGTGGGCCATAAGCTTACCTTCTGGCAGGCTGCCCAGCGTAGAGAGAGCATCTGTTTATTGTAGGGTAATTCTGAGATTAGCAGGCTCCAAAGAACAAATATTAAGCGTGGTTTACTAGTATCATTCTCAGATTCCAAAAAGTGATGTTGGGTTTGGTATACAATTTGTGCGTTTCCTGTAAATTAGTATTTTTCTTTAAAAAGAAATTCTAACATCTACCATAATCATCATTCACAGGTGTAGCCGGAAGATTTCCTGAGTCCCGCTTGGCCTGTGGTTGGGACAAATCTCTCCCACTCCCTCATCCTGAAGCTGCTTAGTCCCAAGTAAACACGCAGAGGCTTATATTATCTACTGGATAATTATCTACATGGATGGCCTATGGCTCAAGCTTCTCGCTAGCTAGCTCTTATAGCTTAATCCATTTCTATTTATCTATAAGCTGCCATGTGGCTTCGTGGCTTGCCGGTACTTTTACATCTTGCTTCTCCTGGCGGCAGCTCCCAGCATCTCTTCCGCCCCTCCTTTCCTCTTCCTGTCTCTCCGGTTGGAATGTACCGCCTAACCTATTCTTCCTCACCATTGGCCAAAGAGCTTTATTTATCAACCAATCAGAGTAATGCATATTCACAGCATACAGAAAGACATCCCACAGCACATAGGAAAGGGAAATTTTTTCCAGTGGTCTCCATTTTTTTTTTTTTAAGATTTATTTATTATGTATACAGCATGTATGACTGCAGGCCAGAAGAGGGCACCAGATCTCCTTACAGATGGCTGTGAGCCACCATGTGGTTGCTGGGAATTGAACTCAGGACCTTTGGAAGAGCAGTCAGTGCTCTTAACCTCTGAGCCATCTCTCCAGCCCCCAGTGGTCTCCATTTTTGAAACAAGGTCTCATGTAACCCACCCTGGCTCAAACTCACATATAGCTGAAAAGGACCTTGGACTCCAGATCATCCTGCCATTACCAAGTGCTGGAATTTTAGGTATGTGCCATCAATCCTGGCTAGAAAAAAAAAAAAAAAGAAAACATAAACAACATTGTGAAAGAATAATTTCAGAATAAATACAAACATTTGCTTGAATAAACCTAGTGGCATATAACACTAACTCTTTTGTCCTTAATTTTTTCATACCACAAACTAGTAAAATTTTACCGTAAACTGCATTGGGGATTATATCTATAGACACCATCTCTGATGATACTTCAAATGTACATCCCTTTCCCCCTGTTATTCTTCAGTTTTCAAATCTCCCCCCTTGGGCTATAATGGAATTATTCGACTTCTCCCCATAATACCTGACTTTATTTTATTACACAGCTAGCATTTCAGTCCTTAGGAAAAAAATTAAGTTTTGTGTCTAAGGCAGTGGTTCTCAACCTTTCTAATGCTGTGATCCTTTAACACAATTCCTCATGCTGTGGTGACCTCCACCCATAAAATTATTTTCATTGCTACTTCATAACTGTGATTTTGCTACTGTTATGAATCATAATGTAAATATCTGATATTTCTGATGGTCTTAGGTGACCCCTCTGAAAGGGTCATTCAACTCCCCACCCCCAGGAGTCACCACCCACAGGTTGAAAACCATTGGTCTAGGCAGATATTTTCTGTTTTTTAGGTGTAAAAGACTGGTTTACACAAGTCACTCAGGTATACTGAGAGGATAAAATAAAACAGGGGCATATGGTTTTCTTGGTAGAGTGCTTGCCTTGCGTTCAAAGCCCTGGGTTCCATCTCCAGCACTGCATAAACCAGGTGCGGTGGCACAAATCTGTAGCGCCAAGGTTTGGTACATGGAGGTGAGAGGGTAAAAAGTTCAAGGTCGACAGTGTCAACCAGTGTCATCCAACAGGACTGAAGCACATATTAAGTCACAGAACTGTGACAGCACACACAAGACGCGCATAAATTCAAGACATACAAAATCCCAGTATACCCCAGGCAGTGATGGCACACGCCTTCAAGGCCAGCATTCGGGAGGCAGGGGCAGGAAGATCTCAGATCTCTGTGAGTTGGAGGCCAGCCAGCTCTACAAAGGGAGTTCAAGGACAGCCAGAGCTACACAGAGAAACCCTGTCTTGAGGGGGGAAAAATCCCAACATAGACAAATGGAAGTGGGCACAAAATTTCACTGCCAACCAAGAAGCTATTTGTGGTCAATACGTGTTACAAGAGGTTGATACCAGTTCCCTCTGGATGGAATGACTCTGATATCAACCACACTCCAGAGTAGGCCACCTGCACAAAACCGACTCCATGGCTTTTGTGTGTGCCTGTTTTTGCTACAGTTTGGTGATTTTCATCTTTTTGATCCTGTGCACCCCACCCCACTACCTCTCTCTTTCAAATTTATGGTCTCTTTTTCTTTAGTTACTGTTACATACATGTATGTGTATGTTTGCATGTATTCCTAATACAGCTGGCTCAGTCTGCATAATGTTGCTTGTATTTACATGTTTTCAGGGCTCATCATTTGGTATTACATAGCGAATTGGTGTTCTCTTCCCTAGGGAAGACTATTTCTCCAGCTCTCAGCTGTCCTTAGTTGCCTGTAGTCCTTTGTCTAGGGTTGAGGCCTCATGAGCTTTCTCCCTTCTCTTCTACATTAGCATGTCTCTTGGTGCCATCCTTGTCCAGGTTATGTTTAGGCAATCATATTGGTAAGACCTCATGGGTGTAGCTCCTGGCATTTCTAGAAGAGTCTCACAGCAGTCTCCCCGTTCCTTTGACTCTTTTTTTATGTGTCTGGGTGTTTGCCTGGGTGTATGTCTGTGCAGTATGTGCATGCAGTGCCTTGCAGGATCAAAAAGGCATCAGATCCCCTGGAAGAGTTGTGAGCTTCCATGTGGGTGCTCAGAATTGAACCAGGGTCCTGTGGAAGAGCAGCCAGTGCTCTTAACCACTGGGCCATCTCTCCAGCCCCCTCCCTTGACTCTTACAGTATTTCCACCCCCTCTTCCACAATGAACCCTGAGTTGTGTTGCTGGTGTATTAGTTGGGAATGAATTCCACAACCCTGCATTTTGATTGGTTGTGGTCTTCTGCAATGATCTCTGTCTGTTGCAAAGAAAAGTGTCTTTGATGAGGGACGAGAACCTATCTGTGAATATAAGGACAAATATTTAGAATGAAGTTAGGGATTGTACTGCTTTAGTAAAACAGTGGTTATAGGTTCTCCTCCAAGATCCATGAACTCTCTAGCCCTGGATGTTGGTTAGGTTTCCAGTACCAGGCATAATTTCCCTCTTGTTGAGCAGGTCCTAAGTCAATTAGACAGCTGTTAGTTACTGCCAAAGTATATGTGCCACTTTCACACCCTTAGGGTTATTGAACCAAGCTAGTAATTGTTGTAGTTCACAGGCATCATAGCTGAGCAGAACTGTTGGTTCCTTTGGAAGTCTGTATAGTGCCTTCTGGTTCCATGGAAGTTAATCCTCAAGGAGGAGTCTCAGATCATAACCAGCTCTGGTTTGTTGTTGGTGGTGGTGTTTGGTGGTGGTGGTGGTGGTGGTGGTGGTGGTGGTGGTGGTGGTGGTGGTGGTGTATTGTTGTTGTTATTTTATTGTTTGGGGAGATTTTGTTTTGTGTTGTGTTGTGTTTTTGTGAGAAATAGAAAGAACATGAAGTTAGGTGGGTAAGGAATTGGGGAGGATATGGGAAAGCTTGGGAGAGGGGAAACAATATGATCAAAATATACTGTATGAAAATTTCAAAAAATAATTTTAAAACTACAATAAAAAAGGGCCAGTGTGATGGCACACACCTTTAATCCCAGCACTGGGGAGACAGAGGGAGGTGGATCTCTGAGTTAGTAAAGTGATGGCTATAGGTTATTGGTTATTGGTTATAGGTTATAAGTTATAGGTTATAGGCCAGCCTGATCTACAGAAAGAGTTCCAGGGAACCAGAGCTACACAAAGAAATGCTGTCTCAAAAAAGAGAAAGAGAGAGAGGGGGGAAGAAAAGAAAAGAAAAGAAGAGAAGAGAAGAGAAGAGAAGAGAAGAGAAGAGAAAAGAAAAAAGAAAAGAAAAGAAAAGAAAAGAAAAGAAAAGAAAAGAAAAGAAAAGAGTGGGAGTGGGAGAAGAAATTCAATATCATCCTCAACTTCACAGAGTTTGAGGCCAGTCTGGGAAACACAAGACCTTGACTCTTAAAAAAAAATTGCATATGCACACAAAGAAAATATAAACTTCTTTTAGTATTTTTAAAATTGATCCCGGCAGGGTGGTGGTGGCACACACCTTTAATTCCAGCACTTGGAAGGCAGAGGCAGGTGGATCTCTGTGAGTTCAAGGCCAGCCTGGGCTACAGAGCGAGATCCAGGACAACTACCAAAACTACACGGAGAAACCCTGTCTCGAAAAACCAAAAAAAAAAAAAATTGATTCCAGGGGCTGGAGAGATGGCTCAGAGGTTAAGAGCACTGCTTGTTCTTCCAAAGGTCCTGAGTTCAATTCCCAGCAACCGCATGGTGGCTCACAACCATCTGTAGTGAGATCTTGTGCCCTCTTCTGGCCTGCAGGGGTGTGTGCAGACAGAACACTGTATATATAATAAGTAAATAAATAAATAAATCTTTTAAAAAAATTGATTCCTAGATGTGTTTTGTGATGTTTGACATATTTAGTGTCATTATACATCTTATTCTTATTGGTACATAAATCATAGAACAGCCTACAACTTTTTAGACCTAAGAGGACCGCCTTTTTAGACCTTAGGAGGACCACCTTCCTAGCCACCAGCATCTAGTCTCTGTGTCCCATTGATGTGTCCAAATGAGCCATTGGGCGCCATCTGTTGCTGGAGGGCTTCTCTCCAGGTTTCATCAAGCCCTGCAGTCCCACAATCCAAGCATAAAATAATCACTCAGATGCTTATATTACTTATAAACTGTATGGCCATGGCAGGCTTCTTGTTAACCGTTTTTATATCTTAAATTAACCCATTTTTATAAATTTATACCTTGCCACATGGCTGGTGGTTTACTGGTGTTTTTATATGTTGCTGGTCCTGGCGATGGTTGTAGTCTCTCTCTCTCTCTCTCTCTCTCTCTCTCTCTCTCTCTCTCTCTCTCTCTCTTGTTTCCCCAATTCTCCTCTCTCCTTGTCCCACCTATACTTCCTGTCTGGTCACTGGCCATCAGTGTTTTATTTATCTAGAGTGATATCCATAACACTACCTCCTACTTCCTCTGGTGTCTGTTCTTCATACCACCTCACCCAAACCTCACTGTCCTTGACTCCTGTTTTGTCCAGATTTGGGTTTTTTCAGCTGTGGCTAATAGAAATTTTATCTCAAACTGGCTGATTTTTTTGAAAGTGAATATATCACCTGATAAAATAATAAATCTAGAAAGAGTGATGGCTTCAGGCTGACTTGGTCGATGCAGCAGCTGTCTACATCCTTGGGTCCATAGTCTCATTTAGTCTCTACCCTAACTCATCCCCTGACTGATTTCAAACTGTTTGGCGATTGCTGTTCCAGGCATTACTGCAGAATGTGTTTTGTATAATGGAGAATGTCTCATCTCTCCCTGTGGCTCTTAACCCAGAGACCCGCCCCCACCCAGCATGCCTTTCCCCATTGGTTAAAAATGGGCGCCTACTGCACTATTGCAATGATGCTCCTCAGGGAACTGTCTGACTCAGTGGCCTAAACACTCTGGAATTATCTTCCTACAGTTCTGGAGAATTGGAATCCAAGGACAATGTGCCAGCAGGACTCCCCCTCCAAGGCTTCCCTGCCTGGCTTGGAGAGAGCCACCTTCTCACTGTGCTTTCTCACGGTCTCTTCTCTGTGTGCATGTATCCTTGATGTCTCCTCTTGTGCTCAAATTTCCTCTTCTATAAAACATACCAGCCAAGATCCAGTAAGAGAGCTCAGCATGTAAAAACACTTGCCACCAAGCTTGACAACCTAAGTTCAACCCCATGATCCTTACGTTAGAAGCAGAGAACTGATCCACACGAGTTGTCCTCTGACTTCCATGGGTGTGCCATGGTACATGAATACTCACATACATACATACACCCCTGTGTGTTCAAACACATAGAGAGAGAA